GCTGACGTTTGGTCTCCAAATGTCATGACAACACAACTTGAGCCACGTTAAACTGATACAGACTACGTGATGGTGCTGTCTTGACTGAATAAAAGCATCAAAGCTGAACATCTATAACATGCGCAAATAGATTGGAACCATTTGTACATTACTGACATGACCATAATGGGGTTTGACAGTTAAATTACAGTTTCTGGTATCGCTAGTTTTAGCCTTTTACCCAGGATGTGCAACCATCGCATGTGTGGAATTTTCTTTTGCAGTCTCACCTCATTCTGTGCATTGGCAACCAAGTGGCCAGCTAGCTGTGTGGACACATGTTGAGCTGTCAGGTTTTTTTGTTCTTTTTTAAATAATTGTTTATTTCTTTGTGCACAGCTTGTTAAACTGTTGTCCTAGCTGTGCACATTATTTTGATGTCCACCTCCACCCAATTTGTACCCACCTTGGCAGTACACTTGAAATGAAGCTGGGTAGATTTTAGGGATGCATGATATTATTGGCATGGTATCAGTCGATGTTAGCGTTAAAGTTCAATATCAGACATTCCATCAAAATAACTCACCGATACAAAAGACGCTGTTTTTTGTATGACAACCCAGTGACAAGGATGCAGCGGCAGCACAACGTGACGACGTCATGCGCGCCTACCTGATCTGATCAGGGCGGAGAGGAAGAAGTCAAAATGTCGGCGGTGTGGAAGGTTTTTTTGTTTTAAGATATTGGATTCCAAAGATTTTTGGACTACGTTGAGCCTCGCTACATCGTCCTAAGTCAAAGATATATTTCCGACTTAGCTTTACTCGAGTTACAAGCCGTCATTTCCGACATCACTGAGAAGCTAACAGCCGATAGCACGACTTGTTGGGTGAGTTTTACCACAGACATTTGGAAGTCGTGTTAGTCCCGTTAGCATGATTAGTCTTACGGCACAATGGATAGACAAAAACTTAAAAGTTTGTCCTTCATGCACAGGAGTGCAGAGGATCCCACACTGCAGCTAGGAACCTGGAACAAGCCTCCACAAGTGAGACAGCATCACAGGTGCCTAACGCTAATAAATAACATTCAACACTTTTCATTTATTACAAGTTAAAGTGCTATGCATATCATATGGCTGTTTCTGAATATATATCACCAGCTCTTACAGCTGTTGCACAATTTTTGTAGTAAATAAGCCTAAATAAGAGGAATATGTTCTGACAAAGGAAAGTATATATAAAAATATTGGTATCGGATATCGGCCAAACATCCAATATCGTACATCCCCAGTAGATTTTCCCATTTATCAATAAGTAGGTGTGTTTTTAGGACCTGGACACGTTTGCCATCAAAGGAGAGCTTCTGTGCAGATGTCAAAATACATTTGGGCTGGAGACACCAATGACAGGGTGGGTAGGAGATGCCCACAGTGACTTTGTGACTATTTAAAGTGAACAGTTGTCTCACAGTCTTTATGAACATGTTCAAATCTCAAGCAACAGAGCTGGGCACCTTTCAGGTGAACAAGTGGGTTAAATGCAGAGAACTAATTTTATCAGTGCATTGTATGGGAACATATGATGATGACAACACATAGCACTTAAATAAATAAAAGTTGAGAACCCCATGGAAGTTGCACAACATTTGGAAAACTCTCACAAGAGTTTTGTTGAACAAACGCAGCCCTTTGAGAGGGGGAACAGCAAAAACCACCATCAGGTGAACCTTGTTAATTAATGGTAACTCCATTAATTAAAAAACCGGACTCAACCCTGCGGCTTGTTCTAACTTCCGGCCAATCTCAAAACGTCCATTTCTTTCTAAAATCTTGGAGAAAATAGTTTTTAGTCAAATAACCAAGTTTTTGAATGTAAATGGAATTTTTGAGATTTTTCAGTCAGGATTTAAACAACTGCACAGCACCGAGACAGCTTTAGTAAGGGTCTGTAATGACATTCTGCTAGCGAATGACTCTGGTCAGTCTGTGATCCTGGTACTCCTCGACCTTACCGCTGCATTTGACACTGTTGATCACAGCATCCTTATGTCACGGCTAGAACACTGGGTTGGGATTACAGGGGTGGCGCTAGAATGGTTCCGTTCTTATCTGGGTGACAGGAGTTTTTGTGTTAACTTTGGCAATCATTTATCTGCTTCTGTCCCTCTTTCCTGTGGGGTCCCACAAGGCTCCATTCTTGGACCCCTTCTGTTCTCATTGTATCTGCTCCCCTTGGGGTCAATCCTGAGGAAACATGGTATTTAGTTTCACTGTTACGCCGAAGACTCTCAGATCTATCTACCTTTAAAACCAAACAGTTCTTGCTCCATCCTCCCTTTGCTAAAATGTCTTGATGACATCAAGACTTGGATGGCTGCAAACTTCTTGAGCTTTAATGATCAGAAGACTGAGGTCATTGTGTTTAACCCAAGCTCTACCACTGTCACTGATCCTGTAAACCTGCACTCCCTTCAGCCACATCTAAAGCAGTCGGTTACCAATCTCGGGGTAGTGTTAGACTCGGACTTTAAGTTTAATAAACAGATCAACGCTGTTCTACAAAAAAGTTTCTTTCAGTTAAGGCAGATAGCAAAGCTTAAGTCCGTTCTGTCCAGATCTGACCTTGAAAAACTAGTCCATGCATTTATTACTTCCCGGCTGGACTACTGTAACTCACTTTATGTTGGGGTTAGTCAGGCTTCACTCTCACGTCTCCAGCTCGTACAAAATGCTGCAGCTCAGCTTTTAACAGGAACTCACAGGTTTGAGCACATTACTCCAGTTCTGTCCTCCCTTCACTGGCTTCCTGTGCGTGTCAGAGTTGATTTTAAAATTCTCCTGCTGACATTCAAGTGCATTAATGGCCTTGCACCATCATACCTCTCCGACCTTCTTCATCCTTATACTCCTTCTCGGGCTTTGAGATCATCAGACCAGCTGCTTTTGGCCATACCAAAAACCAGGCTGAAGCTCAGAGGAGATCGAGCGTTCTCAGTCGTGGGCCCTAAACTCTGGAACAATCTGCCCATCAACATTCGACAGGCCACCTCAGTCTCTGCCTTTAAATCTCTCCTAAAAACGCACCTATACTCATTGACATTTAACACAGGGTGATCAGCTTTAGATCTGGTTTTTCATTGATGCTGATTCTGTTTATGCTTTTGTTATTATTCCTATTTAACACAAGGTCATCTGATCTGATTTAGTATTTCATTGTTTCTGACTGAGTTTATGCTTTTTGTTTTTATTTCCTTGACTTTTGACACAACGTGATCTGATTTAGTATTTCATTGTTTCTAATTGTTTTTGGTTTTATATTTTTATTCCATGTGCTGTAAATATATCTTGCTACTTTTTATCTGTTGATGTGATATTTTTGTTAAGCACTTTGGTAACAGTTTCTGTTTTAAATGTGCTCTATAAATAAATCTGACTTGACTTGTAGGATCTTTTTTTTTTTTTTTCCGCTCCAGTTAAATAGAACTGCTTCGATTCAAAATACAGGTTATACATGCATAGGTAGAATGTTTAATACACCTTTTACTCATCTTGGTAATTACAAAAACATGAAGTCATCAGGCCTGGGGTCAGCCAATAAACAAAAGCTCAAATCAAACAGACAAACTTGTAAATCGTATCCAAGCTGGATTGTAAGAAATACGTCCCAGAGCAAATATAAACTCATTCTCTGAGGTCTTGGATTTCCTTTTACTGTGGGGGTGGGTCCATCTATATGATGCAATTAGATACAGCAGTCATGGACAGTTTGGAGCTGCCCCCCCTCTCTCTCTCCCTGATACATGAGAGCAACATGAAACCCCAGAGAAGCTCCAGTGGCTCTAACACCATATGTTCAGAAGAAACTCTTCTTGGCCACCATAAAGACGCTTTTTTTTGGGGGGGGGTCAACTCTTGGATTTCACTGGTTTTCCTGATGTTAGTTCAGTTTGTAGTCGTGGCAAAGCACAGAGGGGGGAGAATGAGCTCCAGAAAAAAAAGAGACAGGAGATGGAGCTTTGCGGAATGGCCCTTTGTTTGAAAGCAGCCTCTCTCTCTCTCTTGCAGCGATGGAAATGCAAGACACTTATCGATCATTTCAACTGGAAACCTTTTGTGTTGCAAGCCACTCGGAAAACTGACCCAATTAAAAGGAATATTATTACTTTATAATTATAAACAAAAACAACATGATGCCTCCCGGCGATGAGCATCCCTCATCCAGGAGACGACTCGCTCTTTGTCCGTTTGGACCTGCAGCAGCAAACAAACAAACAAACAAACAAACAAGCAAGCAAACAAAAAAAGCTGCGGGGGGTAGAGATTTATTTAGCAGATTAACAGTTTTATCATAAAGACGCCCATTAACTGCCCTCCGTTTTCTCTCAGTCGAAGCTGAGTTCAAGAACAACAGCAAAGATGCATCTAAGTGGAAAATCTCTAACAAAATAAAAGCCCGACGGGTGCGTTTGATTCCTTTTGTACCAGCGTCTGTCAGCCGTCTTCCTCCCCGCCTCCCCCGGACGCAAAGCCGGGGGGGGGGGGGGGGGAGGGTGTACGGCGGCTCCAGACAGCTCCGGCCCAAGGAGCTCCGGAGGGGAAGAAAAGTGCAGCTGATTACCGAAACAAACAAAAAGACAAATAAATAAAACCCCGGAACGCGAGTAAATTCATTAAAAGACCCACAAACGCACCAGTCCGCCAGAGGAAGCCCTTTAATTTTTAAACAGCAGCTAAGCTAGCAGCAGCAGTCTGGCTTCCTTTTTCCGTGAAAAACGGGATAAATTCAACTTTTAAATCCGACACAAACGTCGCCTCGTCAGTCTGCTCGACTAAAGATACAAAGAGAACCGCGTCTGGCTTTAATTTCGATCAAAGTGAGGCGCTTTGTGTACTTTCCGCGATAGCAGGAAAACTTCCATCAATCATCCCCGAGAGCAGATCCGACAGCGGCGGGGACTCGGAAACGGTCCACGCGGTGTTCACTTCAGTCAAAAGAAAAAAAGAGAAATACGCCACTTACCGACTTGTAAAACGTTTTCCACACAGCCGGTTTCTAGTAGTTTGATTCCCCGGCGGAAAGGCAGTCCGTCTCCCGTTCCCATGGCTCCGGCTGCCCCCACCGTCGCCGAGGTACCAGAAGTAGATCCTCCGCCGCCACTAGCGGTGTTAGATCCGGACACCGTGCCCCCAGTCCCACTGGCAGCCGCGGACGGACCCTCCTCTCCGCTGATCCGGCACTGAAAGGAAGAGTACATGCATATCTCCTTTTCGTTGCGGGGGAACGACCAGTACACGATACGGCGCTGGACGGGCTCCGGAATCCGCTCGAAGCGCTCCTCGACTCTTTCAAAGGCCCACTTTTCCGCCACTGCCTTAGCCGCGCAGTCCAAAAGAGACTCCGGGGAACGGTACCGAGAGCCGGGCAACCCGCTGCCGTGGCTGGGCCCTGGACCGGGACCTCGAGGTGCCGGGCGAAGGCACGGTCGCTTGCTGGCCGGTGGTGAGGACAGGAGGGGATGAGGCGGCTGCTCTCTGCGTCCTTCCGCCATGGCGATCCGATCAACACTGAAGAGTCGGAGCGCGAGCGGACACGGAGCGACAGCAGGAAGCCACACATACTGCGCGTGCAGCGTCACAACAAGCAACGAGACTTCCGGCTTAGACTTTCAAAATAAAACACCACAAACAAAAGTAATAGACATGAAGCGTCATTCTATTAGAAAATTACATGATTTAGACCTTAAAGATTAAATGTGAGTTAGTGCACTATTGTCGTCTGAGTGCTGCACTGAACTTCTTAAAGGAGACTGCTAAAATAAAATGTATTTCATTAGACCCAACGTTGTTTTTTTTTTTTTTATTGATCAAGTTGCATTTATTAATTTAATATTCAGAGCGATCAATAAATTATGACCGGTCAACCAAGGGTTACATTAACCTTTTAAGTCTAACCTGAAAATGAGTCTATGTGACTCAATGAGACGAAACTGTATGCATAAAGGTTCAATGAAACCTGTTTTTATTTATTTTATTATAGTTTACAGAACACTAGGCTCTGGACCAAACATAAAATGAACAAAGATTTTTTTTATTCGTAATGTCATTTCCATTTATTTATTCTTGTAATAACTTCTCAGATACGTTTGTCTGTTAGGCAGGCATTTTATCAATGTTGCTGACAACTTTTTTTTTACCTTTACTATACTACTCTGTCATCCTGAATTTTTTTGCAGGGTAAAATCTAAAACGTTTACAGTTTACATTTTACTCAAGACTCCTAATAAGAGTCCTAATCATTTTAAATGTATTAGCTTTGCCATAGTTTAAAAATGAACATAAATGTACATGTGTTTACAATGTAACCATGTCACACTGTGAAATTATATATGACACAAAACTGAAAAAATACAAGTTGCATTTTCATCACTCATGTAGACCGGTTGTAAAGTTACAATGAATGTAGATTTCAGATTATTCATTTAGTTCTACATCCATTCTTTCAATCTTTCTTTCTCAATCTCGTCTCTTTTCCTTGTTCCTTGCAATCCAAAATTTGAACAACAAAATGGTTTAACTTCTATTAGGATTGACAGAGAATGACACCTATTTTGAAAACAGACTATCTATAGTGATGATGCACAGATAAAGCCCTAATGTCTCCTGAATACTTCAGGATACAATAAATAGTAACATTCATGCTTGAGATGGAAGTATTTCTGTTGGCACAAAACCAACAGTCCTCTTTTATTTTGGAATGCCAGAGTCCTGGCTTCCTGTCTACTTGCCTATATATGTGTGTCTTTATGCTTCTCAGCAGACAGACAGTACCAGTTCAAAGCAAAGAGAGAGAATTGGAGCTTGCTGGACTGAGGGGAGGTTGAGAGAGATGCTTGACTCTAACCAACACAAAAACAAACCTTTTCAGAGTCCAATCAGCATGTCGCGCTCCAAGATCTGCTCTCATGTGCCCCAACATTACCTATTGCTCACAATAATGACTGCTTGAAGAATACTAAAAACAAAATAAAACAGGGTGCTAAGTAAAGGCCTACCAGTTACAAGCCAAATAGAACATTTATATGCAGAGATGCTCTTGTGTTTCTAACAAGGTTGAGTCAGGTCCTCTGGACAGATTCTTCTTTGTTGAAACTTTTCGTCTTTTATCCAAAACACTTCTTCAGTCTGAGGCGCTGCTACACACTTAGTCTTATAAATAGCACCTTCTCACAGTGGATAAACCAATTTGTTGTTGATGTCCAGAACTAGCTGTTCACATGTTAAAAGGACCATCAGCCTAACAACTGATCGTTAGCACCCTGATGGTTGAGTGATACTAGCAATCACAGCATTGTAAGAGGGGGACTGTTGAACCTGGAGGCCTCCACCCCCGTTTAATGATGGGCAATTTATTTTCACAAAGATGGCCTCCTTTACTCCTCTCTCAAACCATCGTTCCTCTCTGTCCAGGATGTGAACATCTTCATCCCTGAAAGAGTGACCGCTGGCCTGGAGATGAGTGTAGACCGCAGAATCCTGGCCTGATGATGTTGATCTTCTGTGCTGGGCCATCCTTTTGGCCAGTGGCTGTTTAGTTTCCCCAATGTAAGACTGATCACCCTCCTGACACTGAACAGCATACACAACATTACTCTGTTTGTGCCGGGGGACTGGATCCTTAGGATGTACCAGTCTTTGTCGTAGTGTATTTTGGGGTTTGAAAGCAGGTAGCGTGCATGCACTTTAGGTGAATGTACAAAATTCAAATTCACGTTGCCAACAAATGACCTGGCATGGCAACTACAGCAGATTCGAGGGGAGCTCTCCGGGGGCAAGTAAGCACAGAATCTGCTCCGTGTCAACGCAGATTTTTTTTTACCTGGAATCAACATCTGAAAAAACCTACGTCCCGTCCCCCCGGTCATGTCTGTGTAAACAGGGCCTAAAGGGATGAGTACAGACGCCAGATAGAGTATTTGGAAAACTTGTGACAGAGTTAATCATCCTAACAATTGACTTTTTGTTTTGCTGATTCAATTCACACCATTATGTGCTTTATAAATATCAATTACTGCAGGTCAGCAAATACACGTTCATGTGAGTGGCTGCAGAATGCAGTTCTCTTCAGCACAGCAGGACACAGAGGGTTTGGTAATGCTCAGACTGCAGCTTCTTCTTTTGTATCAGAATGGAGCTGCTGCCTTTTTACCCAGGGCTACACACAAATGTTAAAGATGTTCAAGCTAATTAAAGGCCTATAGCATTCCCTGAAGGAATGCAAATCGCCCACCCCATTTCAAAGTAGTTTTATGTTGGCATGTTTGAAGTTGGAAATATTTTGATCAAGCCTCAAGAATATGATTATGCTCAATTTTATACAATTTGCTATATCTCATGTGATGATCTGCAAATACTTGGAGTGTGTGTTGTGAATGTTTGTCAACTACACCAAATTTTAGCTCAAGTTCTGCAAAATTCACAACGGTATAGTCCTAAAAATTGTTATCTGGGGTGACATTCTTTGTTTGGATTGACTCCAAAAGCGCATCAGTTGTAGAAGTACAGTAAATAAGTACTTTCTAGGTTTCATTGAGATCTATTCAGTGGTTCATGAGATATTTAGCTAACAAACACACAAACAGGGTTGACTCCAAGTGAAGATGTTACACAATGTGTTGAGCTAAAAATTGTGATGAGAACAATTCACAGATACTAAAACACCCTATTTTATTTAAATATCTGTAAATTGAATAGTTACAGTCATTTATGTGTTGTATAAGGTCCGTTGGCTATTCACATACATTGACTCAAAATTTTAGTTTGTTTTAATCATATGTAAGAAATATTTGTTAGTGTGGCATATCAGTTTACAGTATGGGAAAAAGGGAATGATTCTGTGGCGTGTGTAAAATTTGGTGAGGCTTTATGTGTGGTGGTGGGGAGGGGGGGGGAATAGAAAAAGTGATTCCATAAACATGAGGCAGTCAGAATATGCAATCTTAAACTTACAATTAAGAGGGTGGATTGCCCTCTCTGGGTTGGGAATGAGGTTCTGCCTCAAGTGGAGGAGTTCAAGTATCTCGGGGTTTTGTTCACAAGTGAGGGAAGAATGGAGCAGGAAATCAGCAGGTGGATCAGTGCAGTGTCTGCTGTATCGCAGACTCTGTGCCGATCCGTTGTGGTGAAGCGGGAGCTGAGCTGTAAGGTGAAGCTCCCTGTTTACTGGTCGGCCTACGTTCCTGTCCTCACCGATGGTCACAAACTCTGGGTGACCAAAAGAACAAGATCGCGGATACACGTGGTCGAAATGAGATTTATCCACCGATTACCCTTAGAGATAAGGCGAGAAGTTCAGTTATCTGGGAAAGACTCTGAGTGGAGCCGCTGCTCCTCCACATCGAGAGGAGCCAGTTAAGGTGGTTAGAGCATCTGGTAAGGACGTTCCCTGGATGCCTCCCTAGGGAGGTGCTGCATGTCCAAAGAGGAAGAGGACTTGGGGAAGACCCAGGGCACGCTGGAGAGACTATCGGTTGGCCTGGGAACGCCTTGGAGTCCTCCCAGACGAACTAGAAGAGGTGACTGTGGAAAAAGAGATGTTCAAGCTGCTGCCCCCGCAACCTGATTTCAGAGCAAGAAGCAGATGATGGATGGATGGAAACTTGCAATTATGAATTAATAAATTAAAAAAAAACATCCTTAAGAAATTGAGACTGCTGATTTCTGTGGAATCCTAACAAATAAATCAATGCAATCTATACTAACTTTGGATAAACCAATCTATTCCTTTATTTCCAAAAGAACAGACCACTCAAGAGCCACAAAGGTGTTTCATCAGCGAAACCATCACGGACATAATGGTTAAAAAAAACATCTGATGAATGAATGTCAAAGTTGAGTTAAGGCTCCAAATCTGCTCTGACGTCGGCTCTTTAGAGATGTGAGAGAGAGACATGTAGTTGTCGAGACAATATCTAAATCCTCACTTTTCTTTGTAAGCCTTTTCTCCTACTAAAGACTGCTGTTTAGTGTGCAATTATGTTTAACAATAGGCCACAACCAATGGAGGATGCAACCCGTTACCATGGAAATGATTATGATGGATTTGTGGATAGACAGAGCAGGTAATTGGAAAAAGATTGATGGGTGACAGAGCGAAAGAGAGAGGTAGAAAATGGATGGAAAGAGAGAGAGAGATAAATTACTGATGTAGCAGTGGGAGGAAAGAAAGTCCTATTACACCTCATCTTTGTGGGATTTACAATTATTAAATGATGCATCCTTTCTCATCTAGTCAATAGCAATCATTCTTTTTTTTTTGCTTCCTCAGTCATTCCCTCCCCTCCCGTTTTTTTATTATTTTTTTGCCTTGTATTATCCCCTATTTTTACCCAATACCCTTTTTTTCTCATTCTCTCGTTGCCACTATTTTTCCCTGCTGACTCTGAAGAGAAAAGTGGATCCATTGTGTAAAATTCCTCTCATTATCACTCAGTGCAGAGAAGTGCTGTAAATGGTTGGGAGACATCCCTCTGCCTCAGATGCATTACCAAAA